CGGCTTGTACAGCATGACTATGCACAGCCAGTTTTGTAAAATCTGTCATATACAATCTTCCGCACTAATTTACAGTGACCCCATGCACTACCTTATGATTACGATTGAACTGTGAACAATCACATTTTAACGGTCTGCAATTTTATTTTATTTTTGAGTATGAATCTGCGAAAGCACTGTACATAAATAGGGTCATCAAGGGCTCTGCCTGTAACCCTTCAATATACATACATACATACTTTACAGAGCTGGCTGTGAGAAGTCGTGCTGTAAAAGCCGGTTATTTGTCGAAAATCAAGCGAACAATTCTTCTTTTAATCAGGTAAATTGTGTCGACCGTCACGATCTAGCTAACAATGAATTCCATGGTCGGACAACCCGCTGCTGAATGAAAACGACTTATGGTGTGTAAGCGTTCGTCCACTTTTGACCTTGTAAGGATGACCGCGTTATTGGTTTATATGGGCAATCCTGAAAATGTTTTCCGTTCTTAATAAGCAACCTTGGCCGTGGAAAATCCGGAATGTCCAGAGTAGACTGAAGTTTAGTTGGCTGTAAGAGAAAGGGAATAAACCAAGCACACCCAGCTTCTCTTGGTAAGGTAAATGCTTTGAACCATCGACCATCTTCGTTGCTCTGCGTTGCACCTGTTCGAGTAAGTCGATATCTATCCTCATCCATGGTGAAGCTGCTGGCATTCCATACTCTAGATGGGATCTTAGAAAGACGCCGAAAAAATCTTTCGAAGTGTTCGGAGGAATATTTTAAATGTACGTCTGATCCAGCGTAAAGTACTTGTTGCCTTCTGGACCATCTTCATGCAGTGTTCTGATGGCATTGGATTTGTGATCATCCATACACCCAAATCTTTGTGTCATTCTACAGTTCCTAACGCCGTCCCGTTAATATAGAACTGATGCATGCGAGAGGCATTTCGGCCGGTGTTAAAGTGTAGGACTATGCATTTGGACACGTTAAACTTCAAGCCATCTGTTCGACCAAACACACGGTTTGTGAATTTCCAGTTGTAACTTCTTGCGTCATCATCGCACTTGACTTGACTCCATACTTTTATACTGTTTAAGGTCAACTTAATCAGATAATTGTTTGTTGCTGCAGCATGTGTCTGTTAAGTCGGCGTTTGACTACCTTCACAGACTGAGATATTTCACTCGCCTCCGGCAGGTTATTCCATGGTTTCAGTACATGATTTACGAAGAACTACTTCCTCAACCCCAAACTTTCCTGGGGCAGCCACAGTTTGAATGGATATCCTCGCAGGTGGGTTGCAGTGGAGAGTTGGGAGACGCCTCAAAGTTGGAGGGCACATTACAAACCATACAGGATGCGGAAAGTTCAACCAAGCCCTCTCACAGTTGCCTACAATTCCGAGGATGGAAAGTTACCTTATTAAGTTAGGATTCATAGGGTAGTGCGCCTTGGTTTCTTTCTGGTTTTGTGGATAGTCTGTGCTCTCCTTCGAGAAGGTTAAAATTCTGCTAGACCCAGTGTCTCCAGACTTGTATTGTATATTCAATATGCGACCTTACAAGCGTATCAAGAACTTTGGGGGAGTAGCCTTCATCAAAAACTGTGAATGCTCGCTGGATAATGTATAGCATTGTATTTGCGGCATTAACCGCTTTGCAGCAGTGTGTAGACAGCTTTAGTGTGTTCACCATCCGAACGACCAGATATTTGTGTGTCACGGCTCCTCGTAGGGATATTCCATTTAGACAGTAGATGCGCCCATCAGTGACCTGACTTCGGCCTCAAAGACGTAACAGGACGCATTTGTCCCAGCTGAACCAATGTTCCGATTGATAAATATTTTCTTGGAAGTTCGCCTTGTCAGTGGCACTGTGCATGATCCACCGAATTACCAAGTCATCCGCAAACAAGGCACAATGATAGTTAAATTTTTGCACACAATCACTTATAAACAAGAGAAAGAATGACGGTCCCAAACTGAAGTATGTAGATGTCCACTTTGTATGCCTCTCCGTCTTGAATGCTGTTGCTCTAAGCAGGCAAATAGGGGACGACCGACGAATAAACTTTCTACCCATTTAAGACGTTCGCTTCCACTTCCTATTACCCTCAATTTGCACAGGAGACGCTGGTGCGGATCACTAACAAAGGGACTTCTTGAAATAAGTGTAGGCGGCACGCACAGAGTATTTTACGTTGAACGCTTTTGTCGAACTTTGCACACTGCGAAGCAACTTTGCTGAACATGGTCTTTCTCAAATGAAGTCGTATTTTGCACTGGATAGAGGATGTAGGTTTCCAAATAACTCATCAGCACCTTTTGATGGTCATCTCCATGACTTTCCAGTAGGCCGATGCCAGATTGCCGGGCAGTGATTCGTCGCAAGCGCGCGACAACCGCCTTTGTAGAGCGGTGTAATGTGGGCTGTTTTCCAGTCTGTGGGAAGAAAGTAGGCATTAAAGGATTTCTGGCGCAGAACGGATAACGGTTTGGATAACTCTCAAGAAGTCAGACCCTCAGAAAACAAACGGAAAATATTTAAGCACAGACGTCAGACCCTCAGAAAACAAACGGAAAATATTTAAGCACAGTCTCATTAACTGGATCAGCCGCCAAGGAAGAAGACAGCACGTCTAAGGAAGAAATCACAACTGAGAACCGACCTCTTCTGCAAGAAAAAAACGACAG